TCCTCACTTTCCACAGTTACTCATTCAGCCCTGTTGATTTTATCTCCAAAATATCTTATGAATCTATCCACTTCTTTCCATTACCTCTGTCATTTCTCTAGTTCACACTATCAACAGATGAATGCAACAGCCTCCTTATACCAGCCTCTCTGACGCAAGTCACCAACTGCCCCCACCCTACAACAATAACCACTGGCCATGCTGTTCTTTTTTTAAAATGGCAAATATGATCTTGTCTCTCCCCTCTTAAAAGCTGTGATATCTCTGTATTGTCCTCTAGATAATTCCAAATTCCTAACATTACTTAAACCCCCTGTCCTTTGATAACTATAGCCTCTCGTTCAAATATGCTAGAACTATTTTCAGTTCACAAAACGTGCTTTTGCATGTATAATTTCATTTTCCTGGGACGTTTCCCCTTCCTTTTCTCAGTACTTATGCCTAGCAAAATCTAACTATTCTCAGTAATTGTCCTCCTAGCTAGTGACATGTTTTAATGCATTTTTGGGATGGGGAAGGAAACTTGTTTAATTAAACTGATGTTATTTCTTGTATAATGGAACTGGGCTAAAGTGGTGAAAATAGGGAACTGGTTTGTCAGAGAGCATGACTGTTGCTTTTTTCCTGGATTAGGGGTGGACTCAGTAGATGGGATCATTCGAGTTATTAATACAATAGATATTTACTGAGCACTTTTATGTATAAGAAACTACTGTGCAGTGCTGTCGAATGCTAAAGGATGTGGCAGTGTTCTGCGGGGAAAGCCTTCTTTGGGCTCAGAGTTATAGTGAGAAATAGCATTGTCACTTGCCTGGAGCGCTCTAGATTGATAGACATATTCTGAGGTTCTATGTGATGATTTTTTTCCATTTTCTTTTAAAAAGAAATGAGGTGATTACCCTCTAACAGTTGCTATGGCAACTGTGCTGTAACCTGGGAGCATTTTCTTTTACCTCCCCTTCCTCATGGTTAGAAAGTTAAATTATTAAAATTTAACAATGGCACACTAATCCAACATATCCTTTCTGAGGGGTGAAAAGAAGAGACCTAGGTGATAGAAAGAAGGCAAGTGCACAGGAAGAAAACTGGCTGTTGGTATAGACCTATATTAAACAGCCTGTGACTGATTAGTAGTCCCATATGCCCAGGTTTGGGGGTTAGCTCGAGAAATGAAACCAGCTGGGGTTGGCATCATCTGATATTCCCAGAATTTTGAGTCTTACTGCAGACTTTCAAGGGAGCCACACTCTCAGAACTCTGAGGGCCTTCTGGATAGACATTGAAGATCCCTTAGTAGACCTCAGGTCTGTCAGAGTATATGGTTCTAAGGATTGTTTTCTTTCTCCCACCTATGTATTAGGAACCCATAAGGCAAGCAGCAACCTGGCAACATGACAGAGCAATAGCAAATGCTAGTTGCTTGCCATGTTCCAGGGACTGTGCTAAGCATTTTATGTGCTTTTTCTTATATAATCCTGACAATAACCCAGTGAGACTCATACTGTTATTATTCTCGTATTACAGTTGAGGAAATATCTATAATAACTTTTTCAAGATCTTATAGCTAGTAAGTGGCAAAGCTGGAAGAACTGAGGTTGACTTTAAAACCTGTGTTCTTAACTATGAAGCTAACCTACTCCTTATTTCTTGGGATTAAAGGCCAATTTTTAATTATTTCTTTGTCACAATTAGTTGCCTCAAATTATGTTTGGGTATGGGATAGGATTTAAGTTTAATTAATATTGGATTTTTGATTTTGTGAGAAAGCAATAAAAAGGTTTTCAGTTTTCTCCTGTCCTTCAAAATATTTGTATTTTAATGGATTTTATTAAAAATTGATAAGTAACTCAGAAAAAGTAGCTATCTCTGAGGATCCAATAGGCTAGAGTATTTTATTACTTACTAGAAAATTAGAAATTAGTTTCTTTTTTTTTTTTTTTTTTTTTTTTTTTTTTTTGA